AATGATACCCCCAATGAATGTCTTTGGCACTATTTTGTGATGCTACAGTGCCATATTAGAGACCTGTCCATTTCAGTATTTACAGTAGAATTTTGAGAGACAGATTTGATGGGCCCATGTTTCAATATGGGGCATTATAGCAGTTTGACTGTTAAAAAAACCCACAAAGGCCTATCATTTCTAAAAGTAGACACCCCAGGGTAGCAATTAGCATTTTTTCTGCCTGTTTGACACACACTTGGAGATGTCACTGTATATTTTGCAATCCTTATGTGTGCTACGGCAGAATAACACCTAATATGTTGCTCAGCTATGTTGTCTTAGTACAACAATACCCCCATGTGTACCTTTTTAAGGGATATGTGGATGTTGAAGGGACATATTTGAGACACACCAATTTCATATTTTTCAAAAGTGGATGCTGGGCCTAAGTCTCATTTTAGCAGCTCATGATTGCAAATTACCTCTCAAAGGCCACATCTATTTTTAAATATAAGCAGCTCATCAATTCAAATTATGAACACGTGCATACTATTTGCTGTGAAAGGGGGAATATTTGGAGTAAACTTATCAGGGGGTAGTACCCACTCATCTGTGTCCCGGCAACACTGTCACTGATCCCAGAACCAAAACACAGACAGAAAACAAAGAGAGAGAACACAGAGAGAGAAACTTGTAATACCGGTCCTTAGAATGGCCGGGCTATACAAGCAGAGAATAGTCAAGTTACAAGCCGAGGTCAAAGGAGTAAAGAAAAACGGAACAACGATAGGACAAGCCGAGGTCAAGGATCAGAGAAGACAGGAAACATGGGAGACAAAGCCAAGATTCGGTAACCAAACAGATGACTAAAATCACACCCCAAAACCGGTCTACTTATTCGGCCTGGGTGTAGTTACTTTTAAAACAGTGGCCAATACATTGGCCGGGCTGAGAGGGGCAATCAGGGCAGTAATAACTGGTCTCCGCCATTACGCCCCTCTTGTAACACACCCGGCACCTTTTCTGGGGGGATTTCTTTCTGGGGGTTGATGGAATCCTGAAGCAGAAGTGACCTGCCTCCATTCTTCTGCTAGGCTCCACTGATGGTCCCCCTCTATAGCACTTATGCGACCCAGAAATGAGCTGAAACTGAAATTATAGAAACGTGCATTTCAGCTCAGCATTTGCCTTTTTTTAAATTACAAAGGCATTGTGGATTGCAATCTGCATTATATATAGGCCCACTTTTTTATACCATGCCCTGGTCTTTCGCATGATCAAATACGGCTGCATCAGTTGATCGGACAGGTCAACTCCCCTATATGCTGATTGTAATGTGTTATGCAGACTGGTATCCATTTAATTTCCCCTCTGCCACGAGACCTTTGCCCTTCTAATTTAAGACTATGTCCTCTTGTTGTGGTAGTTTTTCTTCTTTAAAATATAGTCTCCTCCTTTACTGTGTTGATTCCCTTTATGTATGTATGTATGTATTTAAATGTTTCTATCATATCCCCCCTGTCCTGTCTTTCCTCCAAGCTATACATGTTAAGTTCCTTTAACCTTTCCTTGTAAGTTTTATCGTGCAATCCATAAACCAGTTTAGTAGCCCTTCTCTGAACTCTTTCTAAAGTATCAATATCCTTCTGGAGATACGGTCTCCAGTACTGTGTACAATACTCCAAATGAGGTCTAACCAGTGTTCTGTACAATGGCATGAGCACTTCCCTCTTTCTACTGCTAATACCTCTCCCTATACAACCAAGCATTCTGCTAGCATTTCCTGCTGCTCTATTACATTGTCTGCCTACCTTTAAGTCATCAGAAATAATCACCCCTAAATCACTTTCCTCAGATGTTGCGGTTAGGACTCTATCAAATATTCTGTACTCTGCCCTTGGGTTTTTACGTCCAAGATGCATTATCTTACACTTATCCACATTAAATGTCAGCTGCTACAACTCTGACCATTTTTCTAGTTTACCCAAATCATTTGCCATTTGGCTTATCCCTCCTGGAACATCAACCCTGTTACATATCTCAGTATCATCAGCAAAAAGACATATCTTACCATCAAGACCTTCTGCAATATCACTAATAAAAATATTAAAGAGAATAGGTCCAAGTACAGATCCATGAGGTACCCTACTGGTGACAAGCCCATGCTTGGAATATACTCCATTGACTACAACCCTCTGTTGCCTGTCACTCAGCCACTGCCTTACCCATTCAACAATATTGGAATCCAAACTTAAAGATTGCAGTTTATTGATAAGCCTTCTATGTGCAACAATGTCAAAAGCCTTACTGAAATCTAGGTAAGCAATGTCTACTGCACCACCCTGATCTGTTATTTTAGTTACCTAATCAAAAGAACCAATAAGATTAGTTTGGCAGGATCTCTGTTGTATCTGATCTTGAAATTCAGCATATTATAACCAGACAGGTCAGCCTGTATACCAGGATTGGCAGTGAACTCTGGGATGTCTCGTAAAAAAATTAATAGGGGGTACCCAGGCATCATGTTCAGCATTAGGGGAATCAGCGATTTCTCCTGATGGTCCTGCAGTATCTGGCACATAGTCTCTGTCCTCTGCATCATTCTCGGAGGCAGTGTCGCCTCTGAGTCGATCGCTAACAGGACATAAGCCTCCTCTGCACTATACTTCCTAAGCATTTTGGATTAAGGGAATAAACTTTAACTAAATAACTAAACTTTCATTTTTTTTACTTTTTTTTTTTTTTTATCAGCTTATCACTAAATTCCCCAATTCCTACTAAATTCCACCCACCTCAACTAACTAAATCACAAATTAATAAAATTAAATATTAAAATTTAACCTCTTAGGGTTACTAAAAAAAATCTAATTTAACTTCTAGGAGTAAAAAAAATAAAAAAAAAATAGATCAGAGTAAACACTGTGATCTGTATTTTGATCACTGCTGGCAGTGATCAATCAGCAGGGAAAGGGTTAATTTTTTAAAAAGAACAGGATAAAGGGGATTTGGAATCTCTTCAATCAAATGAATACACTTCAGAGACACAACGTAACAACGATCCATCTCTCTTCACTTCAAAAACCCACAAGAGGTGGAGGGAAGCGGATCTGATATCCCAGCAGCATTGTGACAACCTAGGCTGGGACATCGCGATTTGCTGTTGCTGGTCTGCACCTGACTCACAGGCACCCAGCAACAGCGTTAAACCTGTGATCAACAGCACCGCGGCGATCTAGGGTTAATTTTAGCGTATGACAGACTGGGTCCGTCATCCGGTGTCATGGGCTTAAGGTCCTATTTTCTTTTATGTGTTCATATATATTGCAAAAGCCAAAAAGGTTATGGTGGGGAGAAAATTGTGATTGAAAACCCCTTCCACCTGAAGTCTGTGTGACTGATGTGCAGATTTTTGTTAAACATTGTGTTAAATGTTAAACAAAAATCTGCACACCAGTCAAGCCATAAGACTTGTTTTTCCCATAGAAATCACAAATTTGCAGTGATGTTACTACCGCAAGGAGTTCTGGGTGGCCCTAACATTAACTATATATATATAGTTGTGGATGGATGAATTGTTTTCACTTTTGTACCGTTATAGTCTTTACAAAGAAAAATTATAATAAAACACTATTTGAAAAGTTTAGGGTTCAAGTTAGGATTAGAGCCATCAAGACAATCCATTTACTGAAATCCCCTGCCTGTGGGGCCAGTATTTATAATGATAAGGGGCATGTGCCAATGCTAGCACTAAGCTGGACTGTCAGGTAAGGCATCCAGATCCTGTATACTATATTTTGCCTCATTCATAATCTCTAATAAATAGTGACTCAGGCAGCATTTATGATTACATATAGTACTTTTAACATTAGAATGTTCCTATTGTTTTTTACATTCAGGACACCCCTCAATAGAAAAGCATTGAGGATCCTACTGTGCATGCATGGCAATTGGCAATAGGATTCTTTTCATAGAGATGCATTACGGTATTTCTCTATGGACAGACTTGACTGTGTTTGACATCATCATGATTACAAAGAAAGAAAACTTTACAAGTTTTTACATGGAAATGCCTCTAAACTCAGTGTGATTAACAGTCACTAGAGGCACACTGATTGACAAACTTAAACACCACTGTTTCTCATAAATGGCAATGGTTATACTTGTCACCATACAAAGAGAGCACCAAGGCACCAAAACCACTATATTAAGCTGCAACAGTATTGGTGCTCAGGGTGCCCCTTTAACTAAAACAAGAAAAAATAAGAGATGGCAATTTAGGGCAAGAAAAGGCAGTTTATGCCCTAAAAATGTGATACCTATAAGTGGTAATTTGCTACATGCTAACAGCATAGAGGACTTTGTGTGGGGCAATACATACACGTTACCTAAATGCACTGCAGCAAATCAGAATGAACGGATATACTGCATCGGTCAGTAATAACCAAAGAGACTGTCGGACACAAAGCAAGTACTCAAAATGGAGCTTTCATTCAAAAAATGTGTGGGTGACAAAGTCATTTGCAAGTATTAAAACTCTATACAATTTCCTAGTTAAGTGAGCGGCAATTCTACAGATTAAGAATAGATGAGGATGCATGCACACAACCTGGTGCAGTAACAAGGCCTAGTGTGCCACACTCAGACACTAAGTAAGGAAATGGACATGTACATATCTACTGAGGCGGCCATTTTAACTGCCAGCTCTGCACAAATGGCATAGATGAGAAGCTAAACACTAAACCTAAAATATATTTGAACTTAAACATTTACAAAGAGTTTTAAGAAATATAAATGATTTATTATGAAAGATTAAAATAATAATCATTGGGATTTAAAAATAAACAAAAACAACAACACGATGCAGTTTCTGACCAATCAGAGCACTTTAGAACTCATGACATAGAACTTGGCTCATGCACCTGCCACTTCACTTCAAACCTTTTGAGAGCGATTTTGATTGGTGACAGTTGGCAAACTTTTTATTCGGCATTCGTGGATTAAAACCATCAAACTCAAACATGGATGGTAAGAAGGCGAAGAAGAGGACCATTGAAGAGGTAGAAAGCAGAGGAAGAACACAACAAAAAGAAGACAACAAGGACAGTGACATCAGGAAACAGCTACAGGTGAAGAAAAGGAAGAAAGAAGAACATAAAGATGAAGAAGGAAAACAACGCGCGAGTGAAGAGGATATTAATGAAGAAATCAGCGACTCTCCAGAAGATCCAGAAGATCCAGGTCCATCTTTGGATTCATCTCTTTCGCTGGAGAGATTTACATTCCACCGACTGCTTGGCAAGGGTGGCTATGGAAAGGTACGCAATTTGTGAAATGTCCATTTACACAGCAGATATGATTTTTTTTACAAAAGAAACAGAATGTTTTTGGGGTGATGTTATTGAACACATTATTGATTAATATAATTCTCAATAATTGGTCATAGGATGTAAGAGTACACCCTTGTCAAATCATTTAAAGATTTATATTTGAAAGTTTAAACATGTGATTTGTCTCTGATTGAGGTCACTTAGTTTCATCTATTGCTGGTTTTAACTTGAAAATATATTCTGTTTGCTCACCTGTAACATTGAACTTTATGTCAATTTATTTTAACATCAATGAGAAAATTTACTGAAAAATTAGATTCAGAGATGGTTATAAAACCTATTCTGTTGTTTAGATAGGGTTAGGTGAGTAATAACAGCATAACCCTGTGTAACATTACAAATTGGACTAGCACTGGTATAATTAAGACCAGACCTGCCCCCCATTCTTTCATTTATTGTTATTTTTTTGTTACACGGTTTTATTTTTAGCACATTTTTTTATCCATTATTACTTTGTGCAAATTCTTTAACTATTTTACTAATAAAATTGTATTTAAAATATCTTCTGTTTAAGAATGATTTTTTAATTGGTTGTAATCTCAGTGACATCTGCTTCCCCCCATTTTTCAAGTCGGAGGTCCCACCTTCCCATTTTGTATCTAATTTATTTTAAGATTAGTTCTATGGGCAATGCACAGTATTGAAAATCAAACAAGGTTATTATTATTATTATTATTATTATTATTATTATTATTATTATTGGCATTTATATAGCGCCAACTAATTCCGCAGCGCTTGACAATATTATGAAAAGGGGGGAAATATACAATAAATGAGACAATTACACAGTAACACAGGAACAATTGATAGATGAGGGTTAATTCACTAAACAGTTTGTAATGTGATGAATTATAAAAATTAGCCTAAAGTAGACCTTAACCCATTCTAGCACAAATAATATTGCCTTCTCAATTCCCATCAACATACTTTTTGGTGAATAAATTCCATATTCCATATTTCTTACATGTTCCTCTGTTGGATATTTAATTGTCATTTAGTTAGTAGTACTGGAAATTGATAGTATTTGTTGTGATTTTTCACTGTAATTATGGCCAGTTTAACCCCTTAAGGACGGAGCCAAATGTACACGTTGTGAACAAAACAAAATGTAAACAAAACCTGGCATTTGCGCTACATGTCTGTCCAACCGTAATACACCTCTTTCATAGTAAATGCACCCACCCTTATTATATATCATTTTATTCAGGGGAAACAGGGCTTTCATTTAATATCAAATATTTAGCTATGAAACATAATTTAATGTGAAAAAAATGGGAGAAAATACGATTTATTTGGATTTTTTTAGTTCTACATGACATTTTAACGGTCAGTGTCATAATACTGTTTGCTTTTACTGCAATAAAATACACATATTTGTATTCAGCAAAGTCTCACGTGTAAAACAGTACCCCCTATGTACAGGTTTTATGGCGTTTTGGGAAGTTACAGGGTCAAATATAGCACGTTACATTTGAAATTGAAATTCGCCAGATTGGTTACGTTGCCTTTGAGACTGTATAGTAGCCCAGGAATGAAATTTACACCCATAATGGCATACCATTTGCAATAGTAGACAACCCAAGGTATTGCAAATGGGGTATGTCCAGTCTTTTTTAGTAGCCATTTGGTCACAAACACTGGCCAAAGTTAGCGTTAGTATTTGTTTGTGTGTGAAAAATGCAAAAAACGCCAATTTTGGCCAGTGTTTGTGACTAAGTGGCTACTAAAAAAGACTGGACATACCCCGTTTGCAATACCTTGGGTTGTCTACTATTGCAAATGGTATGCCATCATAGGGGTAATTTTCATTCTTGGGCTACCATAGGGTCTCAAAGGCAACGTAACCAATCTGGCGAATTTTAATGTGAAAAAAATGAAACGCAAGCCTTATATTTGACGCTGTAACTTTTGAAAACACCATAAAACCTGTACATGAGGGGTACTGTTGTACTCGGGAGACTTCACTGAACACAAATATTTGTGTTTCAAAACAGTAAAAAGTATCATAGCAATAATATTGTCCGTTTAATGCTGTTTGTGCGTGAAAAATGCAAAAAACCGTCACTTTTACTGGCGATATCATCGTTGTAATACATTTTACTGTTTTGAAACACTAATATTTGTGTTCAGCGAAGTCTCCCGAGTAGAACAGTACCCCCCATGTACAGGTTTTATGGTGTCTCGGAAAGTTATAGGGTTAAATATAGTGCTAGCAAATTAAATTCCCTTTACTTTCGGCATGGGTTGTCATGCAGGTCCTGCTAATTGTAATTAATTAAGATACCTAATTATGTAAAAATATTACATAAATATATATGTAGAATCAATATATGTATATATATACGTATGTGTATATATATGTATATATCTATATAATTTTTTTAAAATATTTTTATTTATATATAGGTATATATATAGTGATATATACGTATATATTTATGTGTATAAATATATATATTATTTCGTTCTATGTGTATTTTGATATATATATATATATATTTTTCACAATACAGTTAGAACGAAATAACACACATCTATATATTTTTTAATTATTTATTTTTAATTATTTTTGTAATTTTATTTTTTAACGTATTTACATTTTAATTTTTTTTATAATATATATAAATATATATATAACAATAATTATATATATATTTAATCAGTATCAGTCTACGTGTAATTTGATATTAATATATATATATAATTATATATATATTAATAGTAAAATACACCTAGACGGTGTACATGTGTGTATGTATATGTGTATATATATACTTTGATCATATATATATAATATATATATATGATCTAAGTATATATAATTTTATTTTTTTACACTTTTAACTTATTTTACTTTTATTTTCAGCCAGCAGGGGGACCCCCTGTAATTACAGGCAGCCCCCCTGCTGGCAATACAGAAGCCAGCTATACCCGGCCATGTGATTGTGGGGTCCTCGCTAGGACCCCACTCTCACACGGCCGGGGGGCTTCCTGGAGGACGGTCGTGCCGCGGGGGGCTCCCTGGGAGTCCCCCCCACCGCGATCGCCGGCGTGGGACCGCCGGCGACCGGGTAAGTACAGAAAGACCGGAGGGCGTACTATTACGCCCGGCGGCGTTTAGAGCCGCCTATTAGAGGACGTAATAGTACGCCCTGCGGTCTTAAGGGGTTAATCCACTCCAACTGTCACTACAATTGCTACTTCCTGGTCACATGACCTGATAGGAATGATGGACATTCTCAAAGCTTTAGTAGGATAGCGAGAGATACATTTCTACTAAATGTCAATGGAAACTGTATCACAGTCTATTGTTATGAAAACTGAATTATTTCTACTTAAGAAAACATATACAATGCTTATGTTTCATGGATTGTATAAATAGAAGTGCGATAGAGGATCTTTTCACATTTTGAAGATTTAATAAAGCTTTATAGAATATACTTCCTTACATACTACAATACACAGGAAGTTACTGTGTTAATTATGTAATTGTACAATGGGTCACCCAGTTAATACTGTATCATGTAAATCATTTCGGTCTCTGTTAAGAACCAATGCACTGGATTCTCTTTTTGTTTGTGCTATTGTTTGTGCTGTTATTTGTATTTTTGCAGTGTATTTTCTAAAGCTCATGTGTGCTACTATAATAAAAATATTCTGTTCAAGTACAGCAATATTCTACGTGTGTGTATATATATATATATATATATATATATATATATATATATAAATTTACTTTTAAGGGATTCTGAGGGAAGTGTGGACAAGTACGGTCAATAGCCCACACAGCAAGGTGTTGCAAAGAATCACCGATGGCCCCTGACGCGCGCGTTTCGCCCACAACTCATCAGAGGGGACTCTTTTGAAATTTACTTTCCATTTTTATATTTAGATCTCAATACGTTACCAATAAGCTGTATCTATTTTTAATCTCTAATAGGTACCATTACTTTAGTGTTGCAATCCTCATATCATATTATATTGCAACCATTTGCACATTGAGTATCACCACTCATTATTCTTTGCTAAACCTAGCTATTTATATCAACTTTTAACTTATTCATTAAAAGTTAATTTTTTAAAATTTTCCTCAGGGCACTCAACTGTTCTTTTTTTGTTATTACTACCTTGGTAGTTTATTGTGGGTTAACCTCACTATGAGTGTTTTCCCTATAGCTTCCATCCCCCTTTTTCTCTTCTATATATATATATATATTGCACTCCCTGGTCGTATTAATTTGCAAACTTTATTCACCAATGTTCAGTAACTTTACTGTATCATCAATGTTTCGGTCCTCATCCGGACTAGGACTGAAACGTTGATGATACTGTGAAGTTACTTAACATTGGTTAATAAAGTTTGCAAATTAAGAAGACCAGTGAGTGCCCTTCTATGAGTGAGTGGATTTGTGAGTGGTCCGACGTCATAATTCGGCTCCTGGCATCACTAAGCAGTGCGAGGGAGCTGAGCAGTAAGAGCTCAGGCAACAGCACTCCCTCGCCACAAGCCCGTAATAGAAGCTACCGCCCGCCTTGTGGGGGGCCCAAAGGTGGACAGCCGGCCAGGTCTTGGGCCCCCCAGGACACGAGGCTAACAAGGCAGTGCCGCCCAAAGAAAATCCCAGTGACCTATGGTAGCGTGCCCACAGAGAGGGCTCAGCGTGCCATCTGTGGCACGCTTGCCATAGGTTTGCCTTCGCTGCTATACATTATAAGTGGTGCCAATGGTTTAGATATACCATTAGAATGCTAATCTGATACATAAGATTCAATCAGCCATATCTGGTACAGACTTCAGTAAATAAACAGGACAGGGATTGGATTTGTGCACTACTCTGTTGTGTTTTTGATCAAGTTAGGTGTAATGAGACCATAGGGCATATTAAAGATAGTTTAAAGGAGAAAGGCTAAAAAACAAAATAATAATATATTTTACACGATATGTCTGTGATATAATAACCACACAGTAGGTTTCTTAAAGGGAAACTATAGTGCCAGGAAATCAAAGTTGTTCTCCTGGTACCATAGCTCCCCCCTGCCTCACAGCCCTCACCCCCGTGCTGCAGAAGGAGTTAAATCCCTACTGTCACAATGTCGGTGCTGGTTTGGGTTTGCCTCTGCTCCTCCCCTGCTGGCGTCATCTGGCAGGGGAGACCTAATGCGTATGCACAGCAATGGCCATGCCTGCATTAGTATTTCTACCATAGGGGGTTTAACATGACACTGGATGTCCTCATTCATAGCCTGAGGACGTCCAGCGTCAGTTAGGTGACCAAAAGTCACCTAAGGACCCGAAAGTCCCTCTAGTGGCTGTTTGGTAGACAATCACTAGAGTTGGAGTTTACCTTCAAAGGTAATTATTGTAGTTTATTAAAGAATAAAATAATTACCTTTGCAGGGTCAAGGGTCCTGGAACTATGCACCCAAATCACTTCAATGAGCTGAACTGGTCAGGGTGCCTATAGTGTCCCTTTAGGTAAATATAGCTTGCTACATTTAAAACATTTGTGTCAGTTTTCCTTTAACTACATCATGCTAATAGATATGTTAGCACACAAGGATTGACACAAAATTCTGAAAGCCTCTTTATTTATGTGTCATCCAGGTCTTCCTGGCATCGGACAAAACAACGAAGAAGGTGGTGGCTTTGAAAATAGTGAGGAAGAAAGACCTTCTCACTGAAGCCTCAGACAGGACACTCACTGAACGTCGAGTGCTGGAGATGGCAGCCGGAAGTCCTTACCTAACCAAAGCCTATGGAGCGTTTCAGATCCCGGTAATTCCTTAATGGTCATAAATCAACTTTCCATTAACAAACCAACCAGCAATATATCTGCAGATGTTTGCTTTAAATTTTCTGTGGCAAATTGGTTTCTAACCAATATATACCAAAGAAAAAAGTTACTTGAGCACTATGCCTATTATAAACTCTCTTATAAAACCTCTTGTGTGAATCCTACACTAAAAATTCACCTTCCTGTCTTCAACTAACAGGTAGAAATCTCTAATGAGACAAAAAAAATTATTTTTCCAAAGCCTTTTGAGTGATACTAAAAACTTCCAGTTATTTAAATGTCCACAGGGATTTGGGATAGTGAGCAAGTAACTTTTTTGCTTTGTGTTTTTATTGTATGTATTGGGGCTGATGTGTACCATAGTCATTGCTGCTGCCAGGAGTAGTGGGTGTTTAAGCACAGGACTTGATTTTGTATAGTTTCTAACCCAGATAAAGAGTAGTTGGCCAAAAAATCCAAGGGAACAGAACAGGGGGTAACCTTAATAGAATTGGTCGCAAAGAGAAGAAGAAGAAATCTGTCCCTAAAAAAATATATAGATAAGGGTAATAATTTTAAAATCTCAAAAATACTTTATTAAACAGAAAAGACTCACATATACTGTACAAAACAAACCCTGACAGTAGCTACCTGACTCAAAATTGTGAGTTAATTACAGTAGTCTACGTAAGGAACACAGATAAAGGGAAAGGAAAGTGAGAAATGACACACAAAAGTGAGAAAATTCAATTAACTGAGCTGGCACAAATAGATATATCAATATCTAGCTAGTATCCTTAATCATAAGATCAGCCGGAACTCAGTATATAATTGTCACGTATATAGAGAGAGAATAAATTGGCACAAAGTATCGAAAAAGCCCCTTGAAAGGTAACTACTTAGCAGTAATAGATATCAATGCAGCAGTGTTTCAGGAATGTGTCTGATACTCAGCTCTTTGTATATTCCACGCAACTATCAAATGACAATGTGCACCGGTGTATCGAGAGTGCATTGAATATATGTAGCGATATAATTGAATTGTGCGCTCAACAAGTTACCTAAGGTATCAGTGATCAAAGGCACTTCGTTACAGTTGGTTCCTTTAACAGAGCATCATTTTTTTTCCCCACAGATATAGGATTTAGCAAAGTACGGGAAATGATGTTTTAACAAGTTTTCTTTTTGCTGTTTAAGTGTTTGTGTTGTGAAGTATATCCCATTGTATTTTATTGTCAACCAGACCCATCTATGCTACGTGTTGGAGTATCTGCATGGTGGTGATCTTGACAGCTTCCTGAAAAGAAACATCAGACTGGAACCTTGCATTGCAATGTAAGTCTTAAAGTACAATGCTTAAAATGGAGACCAGACGAGGAGAGGGGAAATATGGGTCAGAGCAATGAGAAGATTTAACAGGAAGAAGTATGACAAGGGCTGAGGAAAGAGTCACATTTAAAGAATTGTTTTGGAAAAGAGGGTTGGTAAAAGAACCCTAAAGTTTTAAATAAAATTCTAATAGTTTTAATAATGACCAAATCACCCAACATAAACATTTACAGATTAAAAATATCATTAAAGTTTATGGAACAATGTTAAATAATGTTTTTCTATTAAAAGAACAGAAGTATAATTCTCAATATAGAGCCACTGTATATATTGACAAGAGGATTGGAAAGGAATTAATTTGGGTGGGAGTAAAAGGAGACAGTTACTAATAAAGAATATACAGCTGCCCACCACCACGTTTTCTACTATTAGCATTGTTTGGTAGACACTGGTGAATGCCATAGATAAATAATTTAGAAAAATTAGGAACCTCAGTGAGTCTGAAACATATATACATACAATAAATATACACTGAATATAAATATTCTACACCATGCTAACGCAATATGAATCCATGTTTGCATGATGATGTAGAAACGTGTGGGCACATACACCTAGTGTTTCTAAGAAACAAGCATAATATGTATAACAAAGAGTGTCGGTGTATAAAAACAACGACACGTAAAAAAGGAGGAAAGGGTAGAAAGAGTGAAGGCATGTTACTGAAGTATCTCAGCTAAAGCATATCTGTACATGAGTCCAAGCAATCATCAAACGTAGAAGCCGAGAATCGACAAATACGAGGAGATGCAGGAGATAGAGAACTGTGTTCTGTTGTGTGTGATTGAAGTTTCTAAGGGTAAACAGTGAAACCACCGTGTGTGCTGCATGCAACCAGTGATCAACATGTGAAATTAGAGCAAGTATACCAGTGTGTGAGTTCCTACAGTGATAGACAATAGAGAGTGAGAAAGAAAAGCTGGTGAAGAAAAAAAACTGTAATTAGAGGCAGATCAAAGATATAGATATACCGAGGAGCTCAAAATAGACAAAAACTACTGCAACTGGTGCTAAATAGATTCATAACATAAAATACTGATTTTACACATAGCACTAGGCAAGAATATGAACAACAGATAAGCACAAGACATTTTGCACACAACCGAACATGTAAGAGCTATGGAAATGGATGGAAAATGGCCACAATGAGTAACAGCAAATATAAAGGAAGCTAGTCAATAAAAGGAATAAGAACATGCCTGCTATGTATGGTATAGATGTCCTAACAAGATATACAATTGTTATACAGAGAAATATGATGGTAGAAACATATTTGAAAATAAAAAGTATTCACCAGTAATACTAGAAAAAGTATATGTGACAGTAAGAAAAGTGAAAACTGTAGGCAGGAGATATATATATATATAAATTATTACAGTGGATTTTCCCTAGGTCAGCTCATTTAGGAAGATCTCATTTTAAGAAGTAAGTTCATTTTATATTAAATACTTTGTTGATTAATATTTGAATTCTTGTTTATCAGATTCCTTGCTGCGGAGATTGCGTGTGGACTCCAATATCTCCACCAACACGACATTGTGCATCGGTAAACACATCTTTGTTAAACGATATATTAATAAGCTTGCTCTCTCTACGCTGTGCTGTCCTTTTTTTATCAATATTGTTTAGCTACATTTTTACCTTTCTCTCAGGTGAGTTAAGATTTTTTTGCTCATACACTTCAGCTGTAAGAGGGCATTTTACAAACCGTTTCAACTTAATACTAAGAAGAGGCTTTTTACTTACGTTTGAGAAAAAAAATGTACTCGTGTTGGGCAGAGCAGAAAAAAGGAAGGGCAGGATAAGAAAGAGAGAAGCAGAATGGTCATTTCTAGTCCAACTGATTAAGAGAAATGTAGAAAACTGCATTAATTAAAACTAAATTACAAAATCCTTTTTTAAATTGTCTCCTAAATTCAGGTATAAGTAGCCTGTTTCATTTCTCTGTGAATTGATGGGGCATTATTTCATTGATTGGCTATGGCTCATAAATAGATTTGTACATAGTTCCAGAATTTACTATTAGTAAGCCATGTAAACAACCTGTTTCATGACAGATCTTCAATAAACTATAAATCTTATGATATTTCTCTCTAAAGAGACATAAAGCCAAGGAACATAATGCTGGATGAAGCGGGTCACATCAGGATAGGCGACTTTGGACTGGCGCTGGAGATGCACGGCAAGAGGACAGCAAAGGGTTACGCAGGCACTGTAGATTATATGGCTCCAGAGGTAGGATAGACCATGGCTACTGTTTGGGTTTGAGGCTACATGACTTGATCATATTACATCTCACCAAGAGCAACAATCACTCTGTAGCTAAACAGATCTTTATAGCTATGAAGATGAAGAACTAGAATTCAACATTTTATCAATGTTCATGTTATTTTCCTCTGCAATAAGGTATTATGGTTGATATTATAATAAGCATGGGTTAACATCTTTATTTATTATGGCTGATGGCAACAGTGCTTGGCTAGGTCCTCTAAACTTTAAAGCCAATTCTTAAAAATTGAAAAACACCTTCAGTGATTGTCTATACTGTCCCAACCAGTCATATTGCTCCGAATCATTGCACATTTGTAGTGAAATATATATTTTTTATAAGTTGCCTATTTTAATAGGCAGACGATGAGAACAGCATTATATTTGACAGTAATACTTTCTTTCCTGTAAGGAAACACTTGACTAATCATTTCTGAAATTATGTTGGCAGATGCGGAAAGGAAGAAAATATAATGCTGCAGTAGATTGGTGGGCCTATGGTCTAATCCTTCATAAGCTGGCCAAGAGAGCATTTCCAAAAAATCCAAATGCTGCCCAAACAATGCTTCATGACACCACAGACCACCCTGAGTGTCAAAGAAAACAGGTCAAAGATCTTGTGAAAAAGGTGTGTATGATCCGGCAGTCTAGATTAATGTCCTGAAAAAGAAAACACTTCTATGAAAAACTTACTCTTTGCACAGCTAAAAAAAAGAGAACATTTATTTATAGAAAACTATTAACAAAGAGTGACACGGAATGCCCATAAATGACAATGGTGTCTATATATGGTAATATCAAAAAAAAGATAAAAGATATATCAATTCAGTCAACTGCTTATAGCTCATACCAGCAGTCCATAGCTGGGAAGATTCCTTATAGTCATATAAGACAGGATAATATTTAAGGAGGGGATTTCAGGGAATGAAATTTATACACAACTAAACAATCAAGAACACAGTGATAAAATGACTAAAATTAGAGAAAATCGGGAACTGATTCTGGGTTAGGCAGTGTCTCCTATTTAGAGCAGGAGAACCTTAAACACTGCATTCAACATATGAAGTCGAGTGGAGATAAAAGCGAGTGTACTAGTAATAATCGTGAACCTTTGATTCTTAGAATGTCCCTTTAACCTTGTGATACTGCATACAGATTTACAGATATCTATATTGTGTTTGCATGTGTTTTAGTCAATGAACAAAGGCAGTGGCAGTTTTACTGTTGACATCCTACTCTTCCATTTGCAGCTCCTGTGCAAAAATCCATCTCAGCGCTTGGGGGCAGCTAGCAGCATCCGATTCCATCCTTTCTTCCAGTCCATTGACTGGGATGAGCTGGAGGCTGGCAGGCTAGATCCCCCCTTTGTGCTAAGAACCGTAAGTATACGGAAACTTCAAATATAGACCAGAAAAATCAATGTAACAAAATGAGAGACTAGTTTATGAAAAGATAAGAGGGACGATCAAAGTTCAAATATGGTGTGACAGTGGATTACTGGTTGTTATTGGGACTTCGTATATCTGAGTATTTTAGGGTAATTAGCCCAGAAACACAAAATATCTAAACTTGGCAGCACTGCAAGCTCTAAAGTGTCCTCTCAAGCCATATCCATACACCTCTGCCCCGTCCCTAACCAAACAGCTGTGCCTGTCCCTTTGTACCCAACTATCTTGAAAAACCTCAAAGGAAAGCACGGTGTGGAAGGTCTAATGCAGGGGTGGCGCTCACCGTGAATCCACATTAGGTTCCCAGATCACACTGAGGTTGAAGAAAGAGGAGCCCAATCCAGAACCCAGGGACCCTAGCGCTGGAATCAGGTAAGTGGAATCAGGTAAGCCTTTCATGGCTTTTCATGACTGTAGTGTTAGGAAAACAGTTTTGCATTCCTAACACTATAGTGTTCCTTGAAGCAATCTAGCCTTTAATTTTTCCTTTTGTTCGTTGCCACTATGGCTAGAACACTGTGATAATAGGAAAATTACACCATTTTATACATATAGCTTTTGGCATTCTGCAATCTCCCCCCGCCATCTTTTACATCCATATTGGTGTTCTTATACTGCTTTCTAGGAATGGTAACACTTATTGGATGTGTTCTTGTACAATGTGTAAATACTACAGTAACTTCTTATGTCTTCTCTTTATAGCCACCACTGGAGAGCTTAATATCACGAGTAATACAGGAGACCCTAACATCTCGATACGAAGCATTTACGCCATCTATTCCACCAGAGCAGCAGCAGTTTCTTGGATTTTCTTTTAACACCCTCTCCTAGCCTACTGCAGCATTATGAATTTTCTTCAACATCTCTTTCCCTGTTGCCAACGAGGGACCATGAAGAAAAGGTAAAGATACATTGTCTCCTGGGCTGTGGGTAGAGAGCTCCAAGCTGAAAGGGAGACGCGTTGAAAAGTCTCCCTCTCACTGACTGCTAAATTGTCACCGGATGAGGGTAGACCTGCCAAAAAATTGTAAAGTGGATGTCCAGCTTTTTAGTTGTACTCTAGTCACTTTTCATTTACCTAGAAAGGGATAGTGCTGTAACATCAATATCACAGTCAGTGTTTACTTTCTTTTAAACTATGATTTGCGCAGTCAGTGAAGTAACTGGCTGTGTCAGTGAGATTTGGATTTTGTTTGTCTGTACAGGCAGTGATGTAACTGCTCTGTCAGTGCTTTTCTTTTTATTTATATGTTTGTTATTTTAATCTGTACAGGCAGTGATGTAACTGCTCTGTCAGTGTTTTCTTTTTATTTATATGTTTGTTATTTTAATCTGTACAGGCAGTGATGTAACTGCTCTGTCAGTGTTTTTCTTTTTATTTATATGTTTGTTATTTTAATCTGTACAGGCAGTGACGTAACTGCTCTGTCAGTGTTTTTTTGTTTGTTTGTTTTATACAGACATTGAATTAACTGGCTGTGTCATTTTTTTTTTTCATTCACAATCAGCAGTGAAGTAAACTGCTGTAAGTGAGATTTCATTTTATTTGGTTTTAGCAGCAAATACTGAAAGTAATTGACTGTTGTGTTTAGTTTTTTTTAATTTTAATTTAGCTTTTTTCTTAAAAACTGACTGTGATGGTAAGACCTGCACAAAGCTAGCTGCTGCACTGCTTTTTTTTAATACTAGCTTAACTTTAAAATGTCCTCAAATTTCTTTTCATTCTAACTTTTAAAATTTGCATTTATTTTTTTTTGTCTACTCTTGTGCACAAACATTTTACAGAAAAACTGTGCTACACTGTAATTACACTGGGCTGTAATTAAATTTCCAGAAGTTCCTCGCCACCAGCACTATGTGCCAGTGGCAATACTATTCTTTAAAGGGAATCTATAGTGTTGGACATACAAAGTGGTATTCCTAACACTATTGTGCCCTCTGTCCCCCTCCCTTGCGTCCCCCCATGGTACATAAAGGGTTGAAAACCCTTTATTTACTCACCCGTTTCCAGTGCCAAGGGAGTTCATTGCTCCATCTCCTCCAACATCTTCTGATGGGGGAGCCTAATGTGAACATGCAGTAAGTTCATTAGGCAGGGCCGTACTGGCCCACCAGGGTACCGGGAAATTTCCCGGGGGGCTGTCGGCACCTGGGGCAGGTCATATTCCGGCCCCGGTCTCATTAAGCTGCGCACAAGGGTGGGGGAGCAGAGACAGAACAGCTCCCCCAGCGGCCGCCAGCAGACCTCCCCCAGCAAGCGGCCGCCAGCAAACCTCCCCCTGTGGCCACCAGCAGACCTCCCCTGCGGCCACTAGCCCACCCTGCCGGTCACCCACAGGTAATATGTGTAATTCTGTCAGTGTGAGTGTATGTGTGTGTGTGTGTGTGTGTGTCGGTGTCATGGTGTGTGTGTCTGTGTCATTGTGTGTCTGTGTCATGGTGTGTGTATGTGTCATGGTGTGTGTGTCTGTGTCATGGTGTGTCTGTCTGTGTCATGGTGTGTCTGTGTCATGGTGTGTGTGTCTGTGTCATGGTGTGTCTGTGTCATGGTGTCCGTGTCATGGTGTGTGTGTCTGTGTCATGGTGTGTGTGTCTGTGTCATGGTGTATGTGTGTCTGGGTCATGGTGTGTCTGTGTCATGGTGTGTGTGTGTCTGTGTCATGGTGTGTCTGTGTAATGGTGTGTGTCTGTGTCATGGTGTGTGTGTCTGTGTTATGGTGTATGTGTGTGTCTGTGTGTATTTAAAAAGTGTTTTACTCACCTTTTTTTTCTCCCCATGCCGTGCTGGTCTCCCCTCGACTGGCCCTGCCTCTATGGCTAAGATAATCAAGCTTGATGATCTCAGCCAATCCAATGCTCTGCCATAGGATTGCCTACAATGGCCCTGAATGTAGGTGCTGCACACTATGCAATCACACTGTGCAGCACTGACACAGGAAGCACCTCTAGTGACTTTCTGAGTGACTGTCACTAGAGCTGGCATAGATTTTTTTTTCAAGGGATGCTTTGTATCCCCAGTCTGGCCCTAGCATGAGGCCTTCCCCATTGGAAAGCACTGAATAAATTCTTTCCTATGGGGATTTTACTGACGCTGGATGTCCTAATGCAGACATTAGGACATCCATGAAGCAACTTTGTTGACTGTCTGGAAGACAGCCAGCAGAGGCAGTCTTACCACTGCAGTGTCTAATTAGGGACCTGGTTTGGTGCTGCAGCCATTTAGCAGCATGACCTGGCACCTTTAATGTAAGCACCCAGTGCTCGGAGGACATTATTTCCTGTCACTTCTCCCAGCTTACATACCGCACGGATGCTGGGACGACGAAGGAGCCACAGAGAGAATGCACATCTGTAAATATGTATCAGTATCTGTGTATCTATGTGTGTCAGTGTGTGTGTGCGCGAGTGTGTTTGTGTGTGCCAGTGTGTGCATCTGTATGTGTGCCATTGTGTGTGTATCTGTGTGTATGCCAGTGTGTATCTGTGTGTGTGCTAGTGTGTGTTTATGTGCATGTGAGTGTCATTGTTTGTGTTTATGTGCATGTGAGTGTTTCTGTGTATATCAGTGTGTGAGTATCTATGTGTGTGTCAGTGTGTGTATTATGTTTGTGTCAGTGTGTGTGTATCAGTGTGAGTATATGAGTGTATATGTGTGTCAGTGTGTATGTATAGATGTGTGTTAGTGTTTAGCCACGTGTGTGTATGTGTGCATACATCAAAACATTCAAATTCATACATCAGCACTACATACGAACACCTCTCCATTCAATCACCAACACTACTTCTAATCAAACACAAACACTACATCCAATAATGTATTAAAACATCAATATTGTAAACAAACACATCCCTACATTCAAACACCAAAATTACACAGAAATACACCCCTTAATTCAAACACCAACACCTCATACATACACACTACACACAAGTATGCCACTGTTTTCAAGAAGCAACAGTACATACAAAAAACTGCATTCAAATGCTAACACAGTCCACACAAATACATCCTTATGTTCAAACAGACAAAAACTGCCCACAAATAAAACCCAGCAGGGATGGTCAAATTGTAGATTCCCAGCTGTGGGAGATGTATGACAGATGGGAATCTACCTTTTGGCCACTCTTTCACTTGGGGGGTTCCAAAACATTTTTTGCACCATGGCTATCTGTATATTAGTCCTGCTACTGGTTTAAATACCATGCCTTAAATAAATGAGTAGAGAATGATAGGTGATTCAGTGAATGAAAAGAGGTGTGTGAGAAGAGTGATAAGGTGTGTGAGAAAGAGTGAGAGGGGTTCGATGGCAGATGGATTGATGTGTGCGTGCATGAAAGTGTGTTTGTGTGTGCATGTTGCATTGGTAATGACTTTGAAATGAATGGTTTGTGATTCAGTGAGTGAAAAGAGATGTGAAAGGTGTGTGAATGTTCAGTAACAACGGTTGAAGCCTTGCCGCGGCGTTACTGCTCACATGGACACCCATGTGCTAATTCAACCACCTTTCTCACGGTTACATCTTGTTTCTGCTAGAGAGAGACCAAAATGGATGGATGTGTGCATGTTTGTGTGAAAATACCACCGAAATAATCACCCATCTGACTTTTGCACGGAAGACAATATATTGCTGATAGTATCAGCTCTGTCTCGACGCCCTTATTTTATCGTTTGGCCTCTAAACACTTACGCTGGAAATCTGGGACTTGCGCTACACCACAGCCTTGCAAAGTGGAAAGGTCTTCTACCGAGGTCTCTGTCCTCTATTCATAAATACTTAGTCCTGCAGCAGAGAACCCATTACCAGCTTATCCCACCATTGGCCAACCCTCCACTGGCTATGGGCTCCAATGTTGAGATGAGAGGCATAGGTGATCTACACAGCACCCTATGTGGCCTACCCATGCATTTCTATCCAGGCCTGGGACCTCTTATCCACCACAGAAGGAAAGCACCGGGCATTCAGTTTAGATACTTCCTGCTCCAGTGATTCTAACTCACTTATTGTACGATACAAATGAGGATGCACCTGCCATTAAGTTGGACATACAAAACCTTCTCACTAATATACAGAGTCTATTTGTGGCGGATATCTCAGTCGTGAAGGTGCAGGCAGTAACTGAACAGGTGATTGCAACAGTACATTGATCTCTGCCAAGGTATGCTGTCAATACAGAAAACAAACACAAAAATGAAGGTCCAAAAATAAGACATCGCCCTAAAAGTGGACATTATGGAGGACAGAGCAAGGTGAAAAAACTATAAAAAAATCTGAAATATCAGAGAATGTCATAGTACCTGAGAAACTCCCCCATTTCCTATTTTTCTAGATGCTTACTTGCTTCAATCTTACCCTCTAAGCATGCCAAAACCATACCAATAGACGGGGCCTACAGTGTCAACAGAATGTCCTCAGTATCTCCTACATATCTTAAATAGTTATCCTATTCTGATAAGAATTTATTCTGTCTGCAGTACAAGAGAGATCTCCATACTCTATTTGAGTCTCATGTTCTATAATGACCTTACCCAATTTACTCTCCCTTGGTATTATCTATCTAGCATAATGCCATTTAGGATGATATTTAATACCCACAGACGGGAAGTGTTTAATATGAATGTATAATTGTAAGATTTGCTGTTCTGTTCTCAGGCAACATATGGGTACATTTGATATTAATATTCCATTAAAAAGTAAGAGCGTGATATAGAGTTATGAAATGACTGCTATAATATCCCCTTGTTGATAGATGTAGTAGTTGGGCTTGCAAGGTCCAATTTGAAGTATGCATTAAAACAAACATTGTTTGGTCTGAAATTGGTCCAAACCGTC